CTATTTTTGCGCAGGTTATACAGAACCGCCCAGAGAATATGCGTTCAAATGTTTGTAGATTTATCTGCTATAGTTTAAGAGTAATGATCGCAAAATAATTTTTTATTCCTTTTGAGAAACAGAGGTGTAGGCATGTAAAAATTTTTAACATTCGCTAAACATCTTAAAATAAATACGCATTTATTCTATAAGGTCATGTATATTTCTAGTAAAGCCGTTTGTATGTTCTCAAGAATTTATAAAATCCGCTAGAAGCCCCTTTTTTTTCAATAGGTAGACAAGTAGGCAATTGCACAGCAATTTTACTTGAAAATTTGATAGAAATATCTTTTCCTCTTGAAGTGAGATCTTATTAGTTATTGGAAAGCAACTCTGTGCTCTTTTCATATATGCTCCTCTTTCTATAATCTAGGTATCATCTCCTGTTATTATGATTCCCTTATTGGATTGATATTTAGGCCCAGACATAGAGTTTATTTCTGATTGCCAAGAGGAGGTTGGAGTATTTTACAGAGCACATCGAAATTACCCGAATTATTCGCATAATTGGTGATGCGTGGGACGAGGGCTTTGTTGATGATGAAGAGGGGTAACTTTTTTTCAGTACTTCATTATTTTCTTCAATTTTAAAAATTTAACATAAAATAAATGAAATAAAAAACGCAGCAACACAAATAGTACTTATTAATATACTTATTAATATATGGCAATCCTAAATTGTGTGAGCAAAACAATTTTTTTTTAAATTTTTCAATTGTAAAAAAAGGGTATTCAAAGAGTCCAAAAAAAAACAATTTTTTTTTTTAAATTTAAAAAGGGAATCAAATAAAGAAAATAATAAAGAAAGTCACTCAGTCGCTTTACAGTCGCGAACAACAATAACCAATTTTGACAATTTGACAAGCTCGTAAAAATTTACGTCTTGCCATGAATTGTTGTCACAGTCTGCTGAGTTATCGACAAGTGGATATGAATTTCATATCTCTGATGAAGAGTTAATTGAATGTTGCAATAAAGCGGAAGATACGATGAAAAAAGTAAAAAACATAGACGCTCCAGAAGAAGGACATCATGATGACAACAAAAAAAAAAACAATTGTGGATGTAATATTTGAGGACTTTTCTACATCGCCTTTTAACAGTCCGAGAGTAAGTTAAACAATTTGGAACGGTCCCCTTTACTTATTTTACGGGAAAAACTAAAAAAAAAACTACAGCCGTGAATTTAGAGAAAAGGCAAAATTGCCTCTTTTATACGATCCTACACCAGAAAGTAAGCGGCTCTTTATAGGCTTTTTTTAACAACCCTAACTTTTTACATTCTTTTTAGGAAAAGCTTCAGATCGAGGTTATATCGAGAAAAAGGACACTTACGACGTAATTCAAAGTAAGTTGTTTTTAAAATTTTTGAAGAGACAACATTTAAGTCAATTTAAGTAAATTGAAAATTTTTCAGCTTTGGCGCCATCTAATCAGTGTAAAACTGAGATATGTAACAATTATGATTTGTATGACGATAATGATGACATTATTGCTTTCATAAGCACTCAAGAAATCCTACATCAAGATGTGAAAATGAATAATAATTTTCCCCATACGTCTAAGTTCCCAGTAAATAAGCTGATAACCCAGGGTATGGCATTAATATTCCTCATATTTTATTATGCTTATTATTTTATTATTATTTTGATTGACATTAAAGGTAATAGTGGGTGCTCCAAGAACTTGGAGCTGAGCGAAACTAATGTTGCATTAGGACTAGGAGAACAGCCGGAGTGGGGAGAAGACAAAAACGCAGTTGGCGTGAGTGAAATTTCTATTGAAAACGAATCGGAAGAAGTGAAAAGTAAAGCAAATCGAGATGAAGTGGGCAAGGTGAATAATCCGGAAAGTTCGCTTGTTTCTGCTGGTTTTCAAACAGCGAATGGTAAAAAAAATCTCCATATCGAAAAAAGCCAAATATCCGTACATAATATTCTAAGAGAATTTCAAGACAGTTATGAAACTGAACTAAAAGACATAAAAGCTCGGATGTCGATTAAAAGTATGGAGTCCAAGTTTGGAAAAAATATAAACAGCAGTGCTCAAATAGCCAGCAAAACAGGCTTTCAAGCGACCTTTAAAATACAACAAGATAATGTTGGCAAGGTCATTAATCCGGGAAGTTCGCCTGTTTCTGCAGGTTTTCAAACAGCGAATGGTAAGAAAGTGCTCATATCCGAGAAAGGAAAAAAACGTGTGCAAAGCCTGCTAAATGAATTTAATCAAAGAGAAGATGGTGACATTGGGAATAATTTGCTTTCTATAAAAAATAAAATTATTTCCAAAAATCAAAGCATGCTGATTGAAAAAAAAGCGTCTTTAACAAGCAGAAAAGAAGAAAAAATGTACGACTATCCCAGTAGTAGCAGCAGACTGTCAGCAGCTGGTCCAATTCTGTGTCGCAAAAGGCTTTTATCATTGTCATTAAACCCAAGATTTAATTATAGGCCACCCCCCTAACTTTGTAAGACACCCAATAGAAACACACGACAAACCGAGACTACGACACCAGAATTAAGGGAGTTTGTTAATAATGCTGTTGAAACAAGTACACCAGGCGTCAATAGACCAAAGAGGTGGCGGCTCTCGGGCTTAAGACGTACTGGCATTAGTCCAATGAAATAAATACTACTTTATATTACATTGTGTAAAAGCAACGGAATCCAAAAACGTCTCGATATCTTGTTTCATTTAAATTAGTTTTGCTATTTTTTCGCATTTTATTTAATTAATGACATTTGGATGTATTTTTCTTATCCTCGATTTCTTGTATCTTTTTGCTTTCTTATACTTTTTTCTTATTTAATGATTTTCTTATTATTATTACTATTTTATATTACATAGTATAAATTCATACAGGTAGCTTGAATAAATTTGAAACCCTTTATTTAATTGTATGGAAAAACAGTAACTTGTTTACATACAATTTTTGCTTAAATAAAATTGAAATAGCAAGATTTTCCTTGTATAATAAAAAAACGAGTGTAATCTCTTTTTTTGCCATTTTTACCAAAAGATTTCAGATTAGTTCATTTTTTGTAGCACGCATCAAAATATTGTATGGCATTTATTTATTGGAATGCTTTTGGGCCTTAGCCATTCTGACCTGCCGCCAATAATAGGAGCTCCTGATTGCGTCGTATTCGGGGTCTTGTATTAAAGTTTCAATAGGCACGATAAAACTCTATGACCGATTTCGATTGATCTATAAATTCACTGATATTTCGCCAGCGTGTATAGCCTTTATTCGATCATTTCAATTTTGACCGCGTGTAAAGTCAAGTAAGATCGCCACATAAAAATCAATTGAATTTAAAGTATTAAATATTTTAGAAAAATTTTAAAAAAATTAAAGAAAAATGGAATCAGTGAATAATAATAATCAGGTAAGAAGTGAAAAAGTTTTTTTTAAAATATTTTACATTATGATCATTATTAAAGTCTTAGGAATGTACTTAATGGAAGACGTGAAAAATGTGATGAATTCTCCCAACAAGATATTTGGAGGAGAGAGAAACGATCCTAAAACTGATTATATTATTACTAGATCAGTAGTAAAGAGCTTTTCAAAGGGTTTCCATGAATTTCTTTAAATACCATATACATTCGTTCAGCATGTATAAAAATCCAACCATCTGAGAATACGTTTGTTTACAATTCTCGATAATTTTGCATGTATTTGCATGAAATTTGGTCACTTTAGAGAGTAAGCGTATAAAATTTGCTGCCTTTAAGAAATAAGCGCATATACGTTAGTGTAATAATAATATATGTTCTCAATAATTTGTATAAAAATGCCAACCATTGTATATTGTTCCAATTGAGGTGGTCGAATGCACCCTTAAAGTCAATAAATATGCCTAAGACATACTTCTCATTACAATCCCTGCATCTTTCGTACGAAGACCCTTGCGGAAACCAAACTGAAACCAAGCCTATCAGACAGAGTAAGAGTAGGAATCATCTGAAGCCTCTCTATCATTATACTCTCCAGTACTTTTCCAAGCAATGGGAAGAGACTGATACCCAGATAAGACGAAGGATCAGTCCTCACCCTGTCGGCAGTACATGTAAAGAAATTTATGCAAACATTCTCAATTGTATGGAATTTTTATTTTCTCAATTGTATGGAATTTTGTATACGGAAATTATTGAGAATATACACATTAATCTCGCATCGATGGCTTTTTTATAAAGACCTGTTGAATGCGCTTATTCTCTAAAGGCGTACAATACATGTGACTTCGGGTGCAACTATTTAAGTATCCTTTTTTCATAATTATTATTGTATAAGAAATAGTACGGTGATGAATGTTATATCATAATTAATAATTTTAGTTTACTTATAGAGAATTTAATTAACTATTTAGTTTATTTATGAAAAAGAATATATAGTAGGAGATTGAAAAATTTGAATATTTTCAAGAATATTAATTAGAATTTTAGAATACGGTCAGGGAATTAGCTTATACTTTTCGGTTAGTTTTGAATATAAATTAAGGTATGCTTAATGAGTAAAACTTGCGTATATAAAAAGATTTTAAAAAAAGTCAGCAGTAAGATATATGTTTTTACTTTCTTTGATATAAAATACAACAATAATTTCATAATTTTATTTAAAAAAAAGAATTATTTTATATTCAAAAACATGTTTGAAGTTTTTTGAATTTGTTGAGAAATGAATTGAGTTCAAATAAAATTGACTTTGCTGACTTTGCTGTACATTCCTAAATAAAATTGAACGTAAAATTGATTTTCCTGACTTTGCTGTGCATTGCTTATGTAGGGGCTAAAGTAAATGCTGAGAGAGCTGAGAGAATTGGTGTTTGTGTTGTAAAATTCTCTCTTTTAATTTTTCATTTTACTGCTGGCAATGCTCGCGAAGAATTTTCTTTTAAATGGCAGCATTGCTGTTGGTCGACGGTTTCATTGAATGTAGTGGTGAGTGAGTGAGATGGTGGGTGTGACGAAAAACACAAAGGCGACGACAAATACAATACAAGCAATTGTCATTAGTTTTTTTGAGAACGATGTTGTGACGACGACGAATAGTCAGAGGAAATGACGAATTGTGAAAAAGACGAAAAGTAAAATTCTTTAATAAGAGAATTTCAACAATTCGCAATCAAAAAAGTCTTGTACATAAATTCCCGCATCTAAAGTTCGTTTGTTAGCGCATTCAATATGGTGAGTGTTTATAGAGACTGCTTTTATATACTAATTTGTGGATAATTTAAACAAAATGAAAAACGCAAGTGATTTGCAAGACAAGTTAACGAAAATGATTATGGGGTGCTCCGTGCTTTGCTTCCATATACATAGAAACAAAAAAAAAAAAAAAAAAAAGAAAAAAGAAATAGGAACTTCTCACGAAGAATATCAATCACACACACACAGGCACACTAAGTCTAACGATGTAATTCACAATAAACAGTAGATTGTAAACGTTTGGCTGTGAATGCGATTGAACGACCGACCTTTAACAGCGGGTTACTAAAGTATTCGTACGTTGTATGAGAAGATACTTTCAAACACTTGTTTTTGTTTAAATTCTTCCTCGTTTGTATTTTTTACATAATTTTATTAAAATTCAATTATAATTTCCTGCATGTTTAACTGGCTGTTGTTCTTGTTGGAATTAGAATTTTTGTGTGCAATTTTTCGAACTTTTTGCCTTTTTCTTTTCGTTTCTTAATTTCAAGGTTTTCAATATTTTATTCAAGGATCGTGTTACAAAGCCTCAAAAGAAGATGCTTATCACTTTGCTGAGAGAAACTAAATTTATGGAGGGCAAAAAGGAGAAGGAGTGGTATTGGGAGAAGATACAAGAGACCTTAAATAAAATTGGCCCCAAAAAGACTATTATACAATGGAAAAAGGTAGGTGTTCATGGGAAGTGATATAAAATTTAAGTCTTAACAATGTTTATTTTCATTTTAGTGCTGGCGGGATATGCGTTTAACTACTCGCAAAAAATTGGCTGAATTGAAACGTTGCCAAATGGGTGGAAATTCGCCCCCGCCCGGTATTGAGTTAAGTCAAGAAGACAATGACATTATCGATATTGTAGGCACGGAATACTTCTATGAAGAGATGAATGGTGAACTAAAACCAGAGAATTTCATGTCTGGTTTTGATTATGTGCCCGAACATTTTTGTGATGCCATACTTACAGCCGCGGCTGTGTCCAGTGGTCAGCAGCACATGCAGCATCAGAAGGAGCAACAACATACTTCTCAACAGCAGCAAGATCATCACACTAATGATGGAGAAACTAGCGACGCGCCCGGATCTTCGAATCATACTGACACACAGGGTGGTGGCTTTCCGCAAGGCAATGTTGGGCAAATGTCAGGACATAATGGTGACCATACCAATACCACTGGTTCGCTACAACAGCATAATCTAATGCCCCAGCACCCTGCATTTACAGGTGGTCTGCATCCTCATTTAATGCGCCGTCAACATGCCGCTGCAGCTTTGCAGCGTGAATCGGCATTCGAAGAAAAGTTATTACAATTTATGCAAGACGCCTTTCCTAAAAAAAGTAAAAAACGTAAAAATCGAGATCCTGACAAATTATTTCTGCTCTCGTTGTACGACGAAATCAAACGAGTGCCCGAGGATATACGACTGGACGTGAAAGCGGAACTGATACAGGTATTGAAAAAATTTCAAAAAAAGATACCAATGAAGCCAGAGAAAACCCACCATTCCCATGGCCAATCATCGTCCAGTTCTAGTAAATCCTCTGGAGGATCTACACCTACCGACAAGCCCTTATCACTGCCACAACATGGTCAATTGTCGCATGGGTTGTATCAGTTACCGAAAAAATACGACAAAAATGAGAAAGAACCCTCGCCACAATCTCAGGTGGATCGTGTACAACATGCCCGCGAACAAGCTACGACCAGCGTATCACTCCATGCGCCGCAAATACCACATCCTTTGTTTCAAATGCAGAAAAAATATGATGAGGGCGCAGCTGAAAAGGTCCATCAACAAAATGAGCAACGCAAACATGTTGAAACGGCTCATCAACAGCATCAGGCTGCTCATCAGCAGCCACCACCACCACCGTCAAATGAGCAGCAGCACCTGCACCATACGCAAATGCCACACGGCATTATGTTTCCGTTACCACAAATACGTGGTAATGAGCAGCCCGGTGCTCCGCAACATCATACCCATAATCCCCACCAGCAAGCTCAAGCTCCACAACATCCTCATCAGCAGGCTCAGCAGCATCATCCACCACCGATATTTGGGAATTCAACAACCTCTACGACGGGCATGAGTACAGATCGTCCTGCTATGGCGTACGAGAACGTTGGATGAATGTGGAGTCGATTATGGGAAGCCGCTTGGGAGGCCAGATTTCCTGTGTTATCATCGGTTTTAGAGCAGAGTGATTCGTGTTAAACTCTCTTTTTCTTTCTTTCTCACTTCTTCTATCGTGCAATAAATTAACCGGTAAAATGGTTTATTTTTTGCAGATTGGGCTCTCTAATGCTGCGGCGGCTAAAAAAAAAAGAAATACAATAATACTTTTTATGAATATTAGTTGATAACGATACAAAAAAAAAAAAAACAAGGAAAATGAAAAAAAATATGTTTACACATATGTATAGCATGTACGTTAAAATATAAAATATTTAGAATTAAATAGAAGTGTAAAGACAAAGAATCCGTGGTTTGAGATGGAAAAATAAAACGGATAAAAATAAGTGATAAGCATTCGCTTTCAGGTTGACAAATCGGCCGCGGATAATACATCCGTTAACTAGTGAAATATTACAGTTTTAAAATTGCATATGTAGGCTGATTACCTCAATCTTAGTGTTTTTCAACTAAAAATGTCATTAGCATTTTCTGCACCTGTTCGACGGTTGAAGATTCTCACTGAAGGAGCACAACAAAAAAAGGTAGATTGATACTTTAGGCAAATATACATTTTCAGTTTATGTTTGCATCTCTATGAGTACCGAGAACAATTTTGAATACCATTGTAGCCAAAAGTGGATTTTTTATTTTCTGACCACTTCCTTCCACGCTTGCAAGAGATTAGTTGGAGAGGGCATTGCATTAACAGTCTTTTTATGGCGTTATGACCGATCGATAATTATAAGAGAAAACGACGTGTTTTCTTACGGCTGGATGTGTGTCCAGTTCGAAATTCGAGAAGCAGCGTCACAATAAAATTCGGTTTTAACAACTACGTTAAGACCGATATTCGCTCGTGAAAATCACAAAAATATGCTTCCGACGTCTCTGCGACGCTAGAGGCAGAGTGTCCCTATAATTTTATTGTGACGACCCTTTTTTTGGTTCAAGATTTTTTCGTCGATAAGATCTCATCCTTGACATCTAAATTAAATAAAATTCGCAAACTCAGCGCAAATATTCTCACAGTTCTCACTTCTTTTTCCGTTACTTAAAGCTATGGATAGTAAATTAACCCTTTGCAATTCATGCCGTACTATTCTGCCTCCGAACAAGAGATAGTTTCTTCTTAAGTAATATTTACCGTTTTTGCGTTTGTTTATTTATGATTTACTTACATTCCCCCAGTCGTACGTCTGCTTATTTAGCTTATGCCCATAACTCTCTCTCTCCCTCCGTGAATATTATTGCTTTTTAGTGATGTGCTTGCAATCGTGTTTCGATGGCCCGCAATTTTCAATTTCACTTCAAGCGTTACTAATATGCGAGTGTCTCTCGCCTTTCTTTGCTTGGGCTTGGGCTATTGTTGGCGCAATGATTGAACGATTCATGCATGTTTTATGTAATTCTTGCTTGTTTCACATGCTTTCATTGGATTTTAAGTTTTGCAAAAATAATGAAGAATTAAACACCATTAAAATACAGTAAAAGCTCTTTATTCGCGGGGTATATGTTCCACAAATATGTCGCGAATACAGAAACCGTGAATACGGAATGATAATTTATATGGGATTATAGGTGACAAAATAAAAAAAAATCAAATATATAAAAAATCCATTTAATTGAAGTTTTTGAACATTTTGATTAATTATCTTAAGGTTTAGGCAATGATTTGAAGAATTTTGTAATTTTCTCTTGCTTGGCAGTTTTTAAAATCTCCTTCAATTCTGACTGATACGCAGCAGTCGCATTAACAATTTGCCTCTCAAAAATAACACTTCGTTCCACAGACGGATCAATGTTCATAAAGAAATCGCGAAGCTCGTTTGTCATTCTTAAACCTTCACTAAGACTTTTCAAATTAAACGTCACATTTCCAGTGCTTGTTGACGCCTCTTCTTCAATGGGCTGTGAATTTAGCATTTCCTCCAAGTAGGTTACAGTCAAATCTTCACCTTGCGATTCAAGCAATTACTGAATGTCACTTGAATCTATCTCTTCGAACCCATCTCGTCCTATTCCATTCGCGAACAATTTTCGCTGACAGTAAAGTTGAAGCTACAGCCGACCTTATTTTATCTTCGGATATTTTTATGGTATGGATGCAAATGAGTTTAAAGTTTTATATATACCGCCTTTATATGGGAAGTGGTCCGATCTGGGTCAAAACATTTCGGTGTACTAGATTTCGCCAAAATATCTCAAAAGTTAGGATCTGTAAGTTGAAAATAAGGAAACAACATCGACGGGCGGACAGGAATGATTCAGATTTAGTTTCTGTATTGATCTAGGCTAAGCAGTCCGTCGGTACAGCAAACAATGGGTCTATCTCAGATCTTGTACCGAAAGTGATGTAGAGTATAAAAACTGAATAATTTGGGAAAAGTTTGCGAAAATTGGTTAGTTAATGGTTCTCGATATTGAGTAAACTCAATAGTTATGGATTACGGATTTATTCCAATCGAATGAAAATTGGTTCAATCTTAAGATTGTCGTCAAGCAATATATTCAAATTATGATCGAGTTTATACGATATCGAGAACAATTAACCGGCTGCAGATGTGACTATGAACACGAGGTTTAATGGGAAAGCAAAAAGAATTTTTGACTTTGACAAATTTTTCATTTGAAATACACGTATAAGGGACGCCTCTTTAGATATCGCCAGTCATCTTTACCTTGTCCTTAATTGACAAATGTTATTTTTTGAAATTTGTTTTTTTTTTTATTCTTGGTTTAGGAAATATGGCACTACCCATGAGGAGTAGTCACATTTTAAGAATCGTGTTGCAAAGATCAGTAGCATTTGCTTCACATGTCCCTTGCGATATTTCTCTTTTTGGGCTGTTACTTTAATGTTCTTCCTCTTTCACATTTTCCATTTCCCAAGGGCTTGCCGGGGTGTTCACCGAGTGTTAGATATGATAGCATTTTTCTAGAATCGTTCGTAGTTGCTTTTCAACTGCATTCATTGGCTTACGTTCGGCTTGTTATTAACCTTTAGTTTCAAATTTTTTCAATTTGGCTCCCTTCCTTAGCCATTGCCGACATTTGCCGAGTTAATGCAAGTGGAAGGAGTAGTTTCTTCTCTGTCTATTACAAATGACTATGAAAGTTTTCTCCATTTCAATGTTTCGAAATGGATTGATTATTCTTTGTAATAAAATTCTTAGTTTGATGTTTTTTCGCAACAACATTATAACTTATACTTTAATACTTTCTTTTATTGGCAATCTTTGTGATAAAATTCTTACTCTCTGATAACATTTTTTTGCAACAATAAATCAAATTGCATTTTAATATTTGTTTTTCATGGTAAAGCTACGAATGTGATTTTCCAGCAAGTTTCTGCTAAGGGAAAAATTACAACAATTTTTACTCAACATTGAAACATTTTTAATATAACGTAAAATGCAAGGGTTTTAATTATAATTTTTACAAATTTTATTGCTACTTCTGTCTATATAGATCCGCTAAAAGATAACAGAAGTCGATTATCAAAATATGAGGACAAATTTTATTAGTGCTTAAGATTAATGTTCAGTTGTTAGTTTAAAAAAAAAAGGAAAAAAGAAAACATTATTATCTTCATAAAGAAAAGATAAACGATTTTTATTTGAAATTGTAATATAATAAGTGTCGTCATAATAATCAGTTAGTTGTTCTTATAATTTTTTAGATCATTGTGTTTGCACGTGAAGCGTCGATAAGCAACAACGGTTATACATGTTTTTTTTTTTTTTTTTTTTTTTTTTTACAAGCATCTTAATATTAACTAAATATATTAGGTTATAAGTGAAGTTGTAAGGAAAATCCGCTTAGGAATCCGTTTTAGTTCATTTTCGGCGATGTACAAAAATGAATTTGAAATTTTTGAGTTCATGGAAAAAATTTTGAATCTTAAGGACACGCCTCACCGGAGTTGGTTTTAATTAAGTCGATTTTGTGTTCCAAATCCGTCTTATCTCGTGCGACGTTTGAAGTAAAAACCATTGAAAATTCGGGCTCAAGCGTATCAAAATGTCGACAACTTGCACATGTCGCTATAAGGAACGCGTTATCATAACATGGTACATGGTAGGTTGCAGCAGGTCAAGCTTTTACGGAACAATGCCAAGGTGTTATGCTGTGTGCATGGGGGGAGGGGTGGCGGGTGGGGATGTCTAATTTTATTTTCTTATTTTTAGCACTTTTAATATGCATTAAGTATTGCATCAGAATTGTTTTTTTTTATTTCTTTCATACGATTTTCGTACACGTCGTAAACCCACACAAAAAGAGAAGAACGGAAGCGCAATTTCAATCTCGCGAAATAGTAAAACAAAGTGTAAGTATTGTAGACAGCCACGGTCCACCACTAGATATCCTATGCCGCTTCGGCTAACAAAGTTACTCAGTTCTAACGGCTTTTCAAAATACGGCTTTATACGGGAAGTTGTGTGATGCGAACTGTTTTCAATAACGTTCGCAATTTGTCCAAAACATGTCGGTGTAGTAGATTTCATCAAAATCAAGGTACGATAGGTACAAGACCAGAAAAGCTTAGATGGATTCGGGAAGTGATTCTGAAAGGTGGGTCTATTTCAACTATATCTGGGCGCTGCATATACATGTACAAAGTTAGCATGCCCCTGTATTAGAGGTGGTGAAGGGTATAAAAATGATGTGTGTGCTTGCCAAAGCTTATGAAACATTCATCCAACCTACGCTTAATTGGATGAAGTCCACAGCGAATTATTTGTATATAAGCGATTTCGTGACTTGTCATGCGATGATAAAATTAAATTCTTAGTGAGCCTTTCAGGAGACGCCTTGACAATATTTCAAGGAGGGGAATTAACGATCCCTTCATCAAGCCCATAAGAGCATCTGAAGTGGAAACCAACAGTACAACTGTCATTACGTGCTTTCCAATATACGCAGAGTGAACGGTTTTTTGCAAAATTTCGCTGCCATCATATTCATTGATCAGCATTACCCGAACTCATCTATGAAAACATTTGGCGTTCATGATACTTTCATGGCAGCCTGACATGTACGGACTTACTCAAGGCCTCTAAAGGTATTCAAACAACATTGTAAAGTAAGTGAGCGGCAGCTTCTAGCGTCTTGCTTAACTCGATAAGAAAATTGACTTAAATTTTCATAATTGAAGTTTTTACTACTCTCTGAAATATATAAAAAAAGGTATTGATAAATTTTCCGATGATCCCCGGTACTCTTTTTACGTCTTCGGTACGTTGCGCACGACGTGCCCAGAAAAGTCTTTCATATGTTAACCTTTAATTAATAGACGCTTGGATATATTTTGATTAGGGAGGCCTGTTAGTGTAAATGATAAAGTAATGCGAAATATCAATGTATATGCAACGATTAAGTTTGATGATTTGGCCTTTCTCTACATAAAATAGCCCTGTTCCTTTTAGCATTATTGGCTTATTTAGTGTAGACAGGCGTGCCAAGTTGCATTTTTGGCAATCATTACTTTTGCTGTTTGATTTGAAGAAACCTGCAGCCGAAGCCCATCAAGCACTTTTTAAAACTTGTAGTGATGCTACCCCGTCATATTCAAATTGTCGGTTTCGGTTCCAAAGGTTTGAAAGTATTCGTTTTGATATTGAAATCGTTTTGCCATTGAAGACAAAGAACGGGCTAGAGGACTACAAAAGTTCGATGACCATGATATGCAAGACGTATTGGATGAAAATCCAGTTCAAAATTTCAAGGAACAGCTTCGCAGTTCATGAATCACTGGTTTCTAGGCGTTTACATGTGACGGGAAAGGTTCAAAAGTAATTAAAATGGCTACGATACGAACGGATCGAAAGGGCACATATACATCGGCACCGAAGCGGAATATTCAGGACCGTAAGGTAGTGCCGGGCATCAGCAATGTATACTAAAATCGAATGAAACTGTTACTCCAGATATCAACCGATGTCATTAGAATGAATTGAACGATGTATTGTTGCAGGAACGATCAGTAAAATCGGTTAACAGACACATATTCATCTTCTCACATGACAACGCTCGGCTACACGTGACAACTCTGGGTCAAGGATGCACTGTTGCAGCTCCAATAGTCAGTCAGTTCTGCGTACTCATCCGACGGCTGACATGCGATTTCGAAATGCTGAAGAAATGCGAAAATAGGTCAATGATTGGATCGGTGTTATACCAATATCGTTCTTTCGATACGGTATCCTCATATTGCCAGACAGGAGGGAAAAAGTTGCAGAAAATGTTGTGGTTAATAAATTTTGTGCAAATTTTTTTCAATAAATGCCTTTTTCAAGTGAAAAAATGATCAAAAAACATGCCCAGCACTTATAAGAAATAAGCTTGAATTTTCCGCCGACCTAATAAACGTAGATTTATGTACTAAATTAAGATCGGCGATCTTCTATTAAGAGTGTACATTCATACGTAAATAATTGTTTACTTAAGTTATAAATAGTTGTCTATCAGTGCAGATAGACAGATGATTAATTTTAAGTTTTCAATTATATGCAACCATAAACACAAACATTGATTAAAAGAAAATAGTTAAGTTCTTATCGCAGACATACACCATCGCATAGTCAGTCCGAGTGTCTATGAACTTACGAAACTTTAATGATGAATTAATCACTAAACTATCATATACGTATGTACGTATAAATAAATCACTATTCCCGTAATAGCTCAAGTGGTCTATAAATTGTGATTTTCTTTATATTCTTTAATTTTTTTCTTTGCAAATTTTTTTATATTTTTAATTTTTTAAATATTTTTATTGCTGTTGTTGTTGTTGTTGTTGTTGTTGTTCGCAAATTAACTCTTTGAAATTACGATAACGAGAGATTCTCGCGCACACTTAAAGAATCGAAGATCTCGCGCTTTATCTTTTATCAGTAATACTTGAAGAGCTGAAAGTGCTCATTAAGTCGTCCGAATGGAATTTTATTTGAAATTAGTTTGGCACTGTTACTCGAATGAACAATAAGGAATGAATTTAAGACGGCGTAAATTAATTTATTTAAATTAAATTTATTCTATATTCGTTTGCGAGGTTTTTTTGCACTGTGCGCGGGTCAATCAATATCAATCATTAATCAATAATTAAAGGATTTTTTAAAGGAAAAAAAAAAAAAAAAAAAAAAAACTAAGAAGATAATGTAAAACGTGTGCGAAAAGTGTTCCTTTTCTAAATAAAAAGGAAATAAATAAAGTAACTTTCCATTCGTAATCTAATGGACTGATTGCCTGTGATATTAATTTCTACTCAAAAATTTTTCTGTAATAAGTTTGAGTTTTCAACTTCATCCATAAACGTTTACACAATATGACGAAGGGTAAGATGAAGAACCTTGCTCGATATCCTTTGATTAAAAGAACATATCTTTAACGCATCCTTAAAAGTTCGTGTGAATCGTTGTTATGCTTTTTAAGTTAAAAAAAGTCAAAAATTTACATTTATGATAATTCCTTTCATGTAAAGATTAAGATGATTCTTCTCTTATGAAGGAAAAGCGCCAAGATCACACCTCTGTAGCGTTTAAATCTCTTAAACAAATGTCCAGAAATTGTAGAGTAATAATTATGAGGATCTTAGACTTAATCGACCGGAGCTTTTAAGGAATAAATTAAAAAAACTCATTATCGAGGGAGGCTTGAATATTCATTACTCCCAATAATTAATCGAAATTATTTTTGCATTGAACTGTAGGAGGGCTCTGGATTAGCCAGGTCAGGGCTATTCAAATTTACAAAAAAAAAGCTATGTAGCTCTGGATTAGCCAGGTCAGGGCTATTCAAATTTACAAAAAAAAAGCTATGTGGCCATCTTAAAGAGGACTCTTGCGAGCCAGCAGTCATAGTAAATATATAAAAATCGCGTTCTTCTTGATAACGTTATAGTTGAGAGTCAATCAGTTGACCCGTAGAGCTGACTTTTTAGTTGCACTTTCAGATAATTCTGAAAGGTATTTCTGCTAGCTTTTAAAGATCTTGTTTTATTCAGTTTTTGCCTGTAAACGAATCTTAATCAGTTTCAAATTGAACCGACGGCAGTTAACTAATCTGTTAATCTATGTAACAATTATATATTGAATGCAGAAGTTGTTTACCTCTTTGTTCTATTTATTATTCTATCATTGTTTATTTATATATTTTCCTATATGTTTAAATGTTACGTAGACATAGTTTAAACAAGTGCTTAACAAGCACGTTAGCCTCATATTTTGTTACATTACTTATATAAGTTATAGTCTTGACCTAACATTATTTTAACAGACATTACGTATTGTTATAGCCATCTATAAAACTCGCAGGCATATTCAATTTGTTAATGCGTTTCGTAAATATATTAAACGACAAGCATTTTGATCAGCGTCAACTTATATGAAAAAAGAGTATCGCTCGCTTATCGATTAAATCATTAAATCGTTCCTTTGGTAGTTTATTTATCTGTGAATGCGGTTAAAGCTGTTGTCTTCCCAATTGACCATTAAGATGCATATGCGTACTTCGATCTGCTCAGCGATCGTCTACCTTGAATTAAGTCCTCTCTTTAAAACGGATTGTTCATGAAAACGCTTACGATAGTTAGAAAATTAAAACTTGATGAAAAAAAACACAAAAAAACTTATATTCGGCGGAGGTCGAGTCTCGCACACCTACAACTATGCTTTTAGCACTCTACTCTCCATGTTCTTTTATTTGATACCCATATCACTGGTATTATGAAGAAAAATGTATTCGCGGTGTTTGTCCAATTTTTGATATTTGAGTTTGATATTTGGGTCAAATTAACGTTTAGTTCTCGTTAAAATTTCTTCATAGGAAACACGACAGACTGGAAATAGTAAAAATGATCCTCTGCTCTCCGAACCACAACGTGACTCTGGGACGGATTTTAGATTACCATCTGTTATTGGCTGCAAGTCACTGATGCAAATATCTACTTACTCGCATTTTTTTTTTAAATTGTCTCCATACACTGCCTTAAGTGGATATACTTACCTCTTCAATTCAAACGATATATGGAAAACAAACGAACGTACGGACACACAAACAGACGCTTCACTTTTATTTGATTCAAACTCTTTCGCCTGCGCAGCTTATGTAGTTTCCATGTCTATTATAAAGTTAAAAGTGAATAAAATGTGAATGTTTGGCATTCGTATTCAGGGTGTTCTTAGAACTGATCTGGGAAATTAAACCAAATCATATACTGACCTAGAATACAATAATCTCTTCCGAATTGGTGCGCTTGGTTGCCCCATTATTTGTCTATACTTGTTCAGATGTTCGTCAGTCCGTCCGTCTCTCCAGTCGCTTATCTGTCCGTCTGAATTGAGCCAATCAGGGTTTCTTTAGTCCATCAACTCACCCAATTATTCGTTAACTGTGCCTTCATTGTAATGCTAGTCCTCTCAGTTATCCGGCTCATATAATGTAGATTGTTAATTTCTTGATTGTTTTGTCCATACCTCTTTCCATCAATGAATCTCTTTTCTATTCTTTATTTAACTTCTGTCGCAGAAATTTGTTTACCATTCGCTGTGCGTAGCTTTGAAACGTTACCGTAAATGAGAGAAAGAATTTTGGTTTTCCTCTACAGTAAATAAATATAAAACGTAATGTTTTTTTAAGCTTTGGGTTCACTAGCGAGCTGATCACAATAATTTTTACAGTTTGTGTGCGTAATTTTTAAAAAACTGTCACGAGTAAGTTCTTCGACTGCGGTTCAATAAATTAACGGGGGGGAATGGACAAAGTTAGAGGGAAGCGCTGCAGGATTTCGAACAACTAAAACAAGCAAATTAACAAAGTTATAGTAAACCGGTTCGATATTTCACTTTTGAATGAGTTTACACTCAATTTTAACGCAAATTACCCTATGATAAAGGTGTATTACTTCTATTATTTCATTTGTAACACATCAGAAACTTTAACAGAAATTCGTAATCAATGTAATCCTATACTTCTAAGTCTATAATCGCCGATGGAGTTTCCACCAAGCGATCGGCAAAGCGATAGACTCTTGAGAATTCCATTGCGATTTCTTTATATTCTTCCTCGTTTTATCCCCCTCTACCTCTTAGCTACCCTAGTGCCACCATGTAAACCGAAAAATCCCGGAGTGGCTGGTCAAATACCAAAAAAAAAAACGATGAAAAATTTAGTAGAAATAAAGGATGTACAGAATGTAGCGAAACTCATATCCAACTTAGTAGTATCGTACGGGAAACTGATACGCACAAAATTAAGAAGAAAAATGATCTTGCGAATGTTGTCCATGTAAATTTGTGTTGAGCCTATAGGTCGCAAGTTTTGAAGCATTTTGATAAAAGTGGGCATGCTCACGTATTTTGATCAAAGAACGAACCCTATTGAAAATGGTGATACTGTTTCGATATTCTAAAGATTTAGGTCAGCTGGGTCAATTTTTTGAACTCCTTCTCACATAATCGTTCCCAGGAAACCTGAAAAAAAGATCTAATTTTGAACATATTATAGCTGAAAAGTGTTCACAACATTAAATTGACATAGAACGTACCACATTAGATCTATATAGATTCTCCTATAAAGATTCTCCTTAAATGTAAACTCTTTCATTTCAAATAGGCCTAATTGTTGATGTTTTATAATGAAAATATGCTCACGATAGTAATTTGACATAAAAATTAATTTGGCCAAATTTGAATAACACGGGTCCATTTCTTGGAGTTGTTTTGAGTCGTAAGTCCTTCAGCAAAAGGCTTAATTTTTAATAATTTTTGATGAAAATTAGATCATAGTAGCAATTTAGGAAATTTGGATTAGATAGGTCTATATTTTGACGCTAACATAAACAATGGTTATCATGAAAAGCTAGCCTTTATATGGAAAGAAAGTCTAAGTCTAAGTTTAGGAAGTAAATGAGCTTTTCACAATTTGGACACGATACACATATGGGACTGAGTAATTTTTGATGTGTTAGTATCAAAACGGGGAAATAATTGTACTAGGCGATGATGTAGGGTATTTAGCGATCGGCCATGCCCGACTATGACATTCTTATTTGTTTTTTATAAATCTTTGTGTTAATTAAGAAAAGTTTTGAAAATGCAAATTTTTTTTGTCTTTTGTTTTGTTAATACAAGTACAAGCTCGTACCGTGTTATGGTATCTCGTGTTTATGGGATTTGCCGTAAACTATATGATACGCATTAATCTAAATATCACTATAGTGGAGATGGTAACTACTAAGAGGGCAGCAACAGCAGTATTAAAGATAACAAGAGCAGCTAATGAAAACAATGGCACCACAACAAATCAACTCATAACTCATTATACTGCAGAGCAGTATTCGAAATTTTCTTTCGAAAAGCATTTATTAAATTTAGTAAACGTAAAGAACTTAACGTTTTTTTCGAAATGAAATGAAGAACTAAGGATACAACTTTATTTAGATACCGTATGAAGATGGATTTCATTGGGATGAATATCAACAGGGTTTGGTATTGGGTGCCTTTTTCTGGGCGCATTGGATAACACAAATTCCCGGTGGAATTTTGGCGAAAAAGTTCGGCACTAAAGTAGTGTTTGGCTTGGCGAACGTTGTCGGTTGTTGGCTGTGCTTTTTAATACCGATTGCTGCCTATTTAGATTATCGCATATTGATTTGGCTGCGTTTAGCTCAAGGTTTGATTACGGTAAGTAAAAGATTGATAGGGAGAAAGATTAATGTTAACTCGTTTTTAATAAAAGCGAATCATTTCAGGGCTTAGCTTGGCCGGCTATGCATGTACTCACTGCTAAATGGATACCACCAAATGAACGCAGTAAATTCGTTACCGCTTATTTAGGAAGTTCTGTGGGCATTGCTTTGTTTTACCCTTTATTCGGTTATGTAATGCATTGGGCTTCTTGGGAGTGGGTCTATCATATATGCGGTGTATTGGGTACATTTTGGTGGTTGGCTTGGATGTTCCTCGTATTTGATAGTCCAACCCAGCACCCCCGCATAAGCGAGCAGGAGTTACATTACATTGAGAAATCTTTAGTGGCTTCGCAGCAAACCACTGGCTCGTCATCGTTGACGCCATGGAAATCAATATTTATGTCGCGTCCCGTGTGGATGAACGTTATAGCGCAATGGGGCGGTATTTGGGGGCTATTTACATTGATGACACAGGCACCTACATATTTTCGTGTGATCCATAATTGGAATATAACCGCTGTAAGGGAAACTAGTGTTATTTAAAGACAATTTTTTTTTTTTTTAATTTTGTATACATTTTTATTATTTTTAGACCGGAATATTGTCGGGCTTACCGCATTTAATGCGCATGCTCTTTGCTCTGGTGTTCTCTATGTTTGCTGATTATCTCCTCAAAACCGAAAGAATGTCCCGCACTAACTTACGAAAACTAGCTACAGCTGTCTGTGAGTTTTGCATTCATTCAAGAGATCGTTTTTTTATTAATTTTTTAACTCATTATTAATTCTTCTAATTTTTCTAAGGTTGTATCGTTAAAGGTCTAATGGTTTTGGCATTGGCTTATTTCGGCCATAACGCAACAGCAGCCGTTGTTTTATTGACGCTTGCTACTATGTTTCATGGTGCGGTGTCTTCAGGTCCTTTAGCCTCCATAGTAGATATTGCTCCTAATTATGCCGGCATAGTACTGGGTATAAGTGGCACGATTGGTGTTTTACCAGGCTTCATTTCGCCGTATGTCGTGGGCGTGCTGACATTAGGAAATGTAAGTTCGTTTTACTTTTATTCCTTTTACTTCCTTTTACTTTTATTTTATTTGTTTTTTTTTTAGCAAACCTTTGAATCCTGGAAAAATGTTTTTCTCATTTGCTCTGCTATGCTAATCGGTAGTGGGATGTTGTACGTTTGCTTTACCGATTCCACACTGCAATCATGGAACGGCCATTCCACATCCAGTGACGATAAGGAATCGCAAAAATTGACTGATCATAGAGATGAAGATTTAAAAAATATTGAAATAAATTTAAGTGAAACAGTTGAACAATTAAGTCGTGGTTAGTAAATATAAGAACAACAAATAAGAAAAAATTTTTTCCTCATACTCAGGTGATGTGAATGAAATAAGTTAAATGAATAAGGTGAAGTGGTATCGCAGAACCATCCCGGTCGAATCAAACAAATTTGCTTTGTGTGTTTCTAACACGTGGGTACAATTTTCAGAGACTTTGTAAAGATAACTTGTATACCACACCAACATTAGTCGTGTCTATCTCCCATCGATCTTGCACTTGTTCAGCTTGTGTTTCCTCGAAGAAAGATTTGAGAAAGTTCATCTGTCCATTTATAGATTCAAATAGGTGTAGCATTAGGCGAAGGGAAAACTTCGCCGCGGTTTTCCTAGTAGAGCTTTTTAGAATCGTCTAACTAGTATTATCAGTTGTAATCTTATCAAGCCCATATTGTGAGACCTGAAAGGCGCCCTTAGTCAGCACCGAGATAGTAATTAAATTAAAAAAAAAAAAGAACATGGCATTCGATAATTCGATGGAGAATAATTGATTTTTAAAAAGGAACTAGAATTGTAAAAAACTTGCCATGTTTTACAATATCATTTCGACCACGACGATAACACTTCGCCGAATCGTTTATAAATACATTATTGTCTCAAATATGGGTTCATGGAAGACCATCCCGATAAGTCGCGTGCACAAAGGATTTCATATGCATTTCGTATGCATTTTTCAATGTGTACAAAAAGTCGGCTCTAAGTCTCGTCTTGGCCGGAGAGGATAGTTTGAACCACGCCCAAACCCTTACATTCGATATATATGGTAATGTAACTTTGTTGTAGATCCTCTAGGTGATGCCTAATTGTCTTGCCGACGGTTGGGTGGACGGAAGGGGGAAGGGGGCGTGAGTTGCCGAGTGCATATACCTCTTAAACCAGCAAACTTTCCTGAGATTAAGTTGACATGGCACATACACACGTAGTCTTCCTGAGAGTATCTATCTTGAGCACGCTTGTTCTTTGAATGAATATTTAGCCACGAATTTAGTTGCTTCCATGCCGAAAGAACAAACGATCAGTTGAGGCATAGTCGTATAACAGAAGGGCAATAAGTCAGCGATTCAAACCATGGTTCAGCGGAATATCTCAGATAATTGCGTAAAGCTTAAAGATGACTTTTGATATTCATTCATCCACAGGCAGGAATCAAAAATGTAATCCAATACAGTATGGTATTAAACATATGCTCTCTTGAAAAAATTCTTTAAAACTTAATTGCAGACGCGTTAGTATCTACTAAGACGAATAAGAAATTTGTTAAAATTGCAAAGTGACATTAGGTAAGCATTGCTAGTAGTCAGTGATTTTAACTCAATGAAAGCCTGTTTATTGCAATAATTTTCACATTAAATAGCTTTTATATTCAAATACGTAGAATCAGAAGCAACTCTCGGGCGAGTAGAGGGGTTCCGTACAAATAATATAATCGACAATTCTATGATTTATGACACAATGCAGAAATGCTTTAAAAAATTCTTAATTGCCTGAGATAGTCGCAATTATCTCACTGCGCTTTTACAAGCCTTCTATTGCACAATCGTGATGATAGGTCTTCTCTTTACTTTTAGAATAATTAATAGGCGCTCGTAAAAGCTAATAAGATTCTTAACTGATAACTTCTGTTTGTTTTATAAGAACAACAATTCATTCATCATCTATTTACAGTGCTTGTGTGCTTGCAATCGAAAAAATTCTAAAAATTATTTTTTTTACACTTTCGCTTATATTCTAATCACAAATCAATTAATGTATTAAGTTTGAAAAGTGCTGCCTGCAATCGAAGGAGGAAACTTAGTTCTAGATATCGTTATCTTAAAGTTTCAAATCAAGTGTGCGGACTATGAACCTATCGCAACTTTTATATATATATATACATACATATATATATATATGTATATTTCTTTCTTTCTATTTGATTTAGAGTAAAACTGATTTTAGTTAATTTATTATGTTAAATATTTTGTTTGTCAAGATAAATACTGTTCTTGAGTTTTCATAATCAAAAGATTAAATAATAAGATTTTTTAATCGCTTTATAGTGTAGCGTATAGTACCGGAGTCCGCTCTAAGCTCCTAAGTTTCGCTATGAAACATGCGACGACTTGACTTAGTAATGAACTTGTTTGCATTGCCCAGTTGTGTGTTTTTCTTATTGTAAGGCGCTAAGAAGCATAAGGAAAAGCAACGCGCGTTACGATGCCAATCAATAAATGCCCTACAGCTTAAAATAGAACTGGCTTTTAGTATACCATGTAAATTTGCGTTCAGCATACAGGTCGCAATTTTTGGAAATTATTTCGACCAAAGGACGAATCTTATTGAAAATGGTTCGAATCGATCTGCTTTTTCGCTCACTCTGCCTTATTTTGAAAGCTCGTTATATCGAAGATACTTGCAATAATCGTTCCTACGAAAACGGAATCTTTACAAAGTAAAAAGGTTTAAATTTCAATATTTCATGGTGAGAATTGATCCGTGTATAAGGATTCCAAGAAATTTCAGACCCTAGATGTCAAAATTACTGATGTTTTATAATGAAAATTTGCTTATGATAGTTATTTGATACAAAAATGAACTGGACCAAAATTGACTGATATAGGTCTATTTCTTGGACCCCCTCCAGAAAAGATTTCTCATGAATAGTAACCTTTCAGAAAAAGGTTTCATTTTTAATACTTTATGATGAAAATTTATCTATAGTAGCAAAATATTAACAGTGGCATTTTTGTACTACATAGGTGCTACCTTTAGATTTCAGCAAATATTAGTTTGGGGAAAAAGAAATCCATTATTTTTATATGAACTTCAGAACTTTATTTAACATGCTTCGGATTGTCCGATTTGGGTCAAATATGCACCGTTTTGTTGTATGATTTGTTGCCATTTTAAAGGTAACTTCAAAATGCCTCTCTCATAGAAGTCCTGGTCTCTGTTTGCAAAAAAATCTAGTAGTCGATTTTTACAATCCTCCCTAGATTCCAATTTTTTCTCATTAAAGAAATTTTGCAATGCAAGAAAAAGATGATAATCGCTTGGTGCCAAGTCCGGACTGTATGGCGAATGCATTAAAACACGACACCTCTCCTGTTGGCCAATTCTGGCCGTTTCTGGTCAATCGCTATCTTCAAACGGTCCAGTTGTTGACAGCAGAGATCAGAATTTAGCGTTTGGCCATATGGAAGCAACTCATAATAAATAATCCCCTTCCAGTCCCACCAAATGCATAGCAAAACCTTCCTGGCCGTTTGAGGTGCTTCACCGCTCTTTGACCACGATCGTTTTCGCACAGGGTTATCGTATGTGATCCATTTCTCATCTCCAGTCACCATCCGTTTAAGAAATGGGTCTATCTCATTCCGTTTGGCCAAGGCTTCGCAGATGGAAATTCGATCCATCATGTTTTTTTCTGTTATTTGGTGTGGCATCCAAACATCGAGCTTCTTTTTGAATCCAGCTTTGTGTAAATGGTTTAAAACTGCTTTATGGTCGATTTTTCGCTCCTGGGCCATCTACCGAGAAAATAATGGATTTCTTTTTCCCCAAACTAATATAAAGATTATCATGACATGCAAGTTCTTATACGGATAGAAAGTATAATTTAGTTTTCTATGAAGAAAATTGAAAAATAATAAAACTTTTTAGAAGTAAAGTAAGTTTGCTATATATGGATCACGCCACATAATATTTTGGTCATCCTTCATGGAAGGTAACTCTCTGTATGCAGATAATGCTTAATTTTTTATGAATATTTTTTATCCATTTTTGTCGGAGAAAGTTAAAAATGATAAATTCCGCTCCAATATAAGGGATTTTTTTAAAATAGCTCCCCACTCCACTTTCGATTGGGTTCTCTCTTGAACCAAATTTCTTTAAAACATTTCGAAATTGGGGATTGATTTAAACACAAGCAACATTGATACGAATGCAACTCAATCTATTAAGAGCAGTTATTGAAGTCGTGTACCACAGAGGTGTAATATGGAGAAAGAGATCGGGAATGACCGACGGACATGTTTTAGTCGGTTTAGAAAATAAATAAAACAGCTGTAGTCGGCTGCGGCTCACCTTTAAATGCCGTACTCCACCTTGCAATTATTCATAGAAAGACTTTTTACAATATGGCTTTATATTGGGAGTGATCGAAGAAGTGATTCGGAAGTGATTTTCAATAGCGTTAGTCTTCGGGCCGAACCACATCAGTATGCAGAATTTCGCCAAAATATCTCAAAGATTGCGGCCTGTGGGTTGAATGCAAGACGGACAGACAAGTTTTGATCGATTTAGGACGCAATTCAGATATGATTCAGAATAGACAGACAGTTTTAGACCGATTCAGAAAATGTTTCTGAATTATTTCTGAAATAATTCCTTTTTTTGAATCGATATACGCATGTCTGTCCGTGGGTATAATAAAAGATGAATCAATTCCAATCCCTTCTGGGTGTTACACATATCCGCACAAATTTAATACATCGTTATACCACAAGTGGTATGGTGTGTTTATATTGCAAGCCGATTAGTATACTAACATGCCGATCTAATGCAAGTCGTTTTGAGTTTTGCAGGCATCTATACAAACCTTGTGTTATTGCCGGTATTTATTCCTTCTATTATAAAGGAAGGAGTGCCGATTAAATCTAATGAGCTCCTTCTACAAATTTTTTCTTGTTCGCCTTACAGACGTTGCGATTAGCATATAATTTGTTTCACCTCAACAAACTTTCTGCGCTTAACCAATGGATGGAAGGGAAGTAAATTCGCTCTGCCAAAACGTTTGCAACATCCAGGAGGAAGTTTTGCAAGCTAATTAGAATAGTTAAATTCTTGATAGGCATCAAATTGTAAATTGAATAAGCAATGTCTGTCTTTCCTTCTGTTTGTTTTTGTAACGTCTGCAGCAAACTTTCTCCTGATCGCAAAGATCGAAAATTTTTGCCGAATAGATTGGTTTCGAAATTTGGGCGCAATTGGTCAAAAGACTTGCCTACAGTACCACATAACCTGGAAACACCTTTGTCT